AAAAAATCATAATAGAAAGGTAGTAAAAAGTTTTTAAGGTGGTTTTATTGTTAGTTTGACTAAGAAAGTGTCCAAATTTAAGTGTCCAAATTTTGTCCAAAATTATATGTATTTTTATAAATATGACCAAAGAACATAAAAGTGCCCATAGTCTAAGAATCACCCTTATATTAAAGGGTGATCGAGTCTTTTATGGGGGATTAACCAAATCTCTGACTGACTCAACATATTTTGCGGGCTTTCTAAGAAGCGCGGGAAAATTCGGCAGGTGTTGCATAAACACGGGAACGGATTACGGTCTCAGAGGTCAGACCTGAACACAAGGACGAGCTCGCACAGTAACCGGGCAGCACAAAAATCTTAACGTGTTCCAGACTGAGAGAATGTAGGTCATTTTAATGGACGAGATTACTGTGATGTAACCCAACAAGGATCGTTAAGTACATAGCCTATGGCCTGCAGGTCTGTTTACAGTAGTGTTGGGTCGTTCTTGAACGATTCGTTCGTTTTGAACGAATCTTTAATGTGACTCGGGAAGAACGAGTCGTCTCGGGGAGTGATTCGTTCAGTCGCGCATGCGCAACATCCTGTAGGTTCTGATAAAATGATCCGAACTTCCCATCACTAGTTTACAGCGACAGACGCTCTCCAGTTCAGTCTGTCAACGGGAGACAGTCAGAGTTTCTGAATGAAGGTACCTCCAAAATAAACTGGTTTCAGATATTTGTTTTCAAGATACCATTAAGTCATGTCTAAATAACAAAATTAAGTGAGCTTTAGAAATAAACAAGCAAGCATATTCGAGTTTTAGGTTCAGTCTATTTGTGTTAGCTTTGAGAACAACATAGCTACTAGTGTATTTCGAAATGCTAACCCAATTTAAAGCTTAGATTTGATATTTACAGTCTTCATCTTCTGGTAAAAAGCAATAAATTGTAAATATGCCAACACGGAAAAAAACTGCAGTCGTTAAGCAATTGATTATGATTGTTTCTTGTAGAATACAGTTACTTGATAAACATGGACATTTTACAAATGAGTGATTCATTTTGCCATGCATAGGTGTGTTATTTATGCTCTATGTATTGTGTTATGTATTGTGCTGCCACAGAGAATGATGGGAAATGTAGTTTGGTTGTAGCTTTCAGCTTATAAACATACTTAAATGAGTGGTGTTTTCTGGTGAATTTTATCTCTGTTTCTTATTAACATTACACAAAATGTGTACAAATTAAACTGTACTATCCTTATTAGCAACTAAATCTTAATTATATGTTTATTAGACTCCTTGTCATTGATTGGCTTTAAACAAGACCATTTTCTGTTTTTGACATTTGAGAGCTATGAATTACATTATTTTAATAAATAGCGACCATTTTATAAGGACCATTTTTTCCATAGAAGACCCAAAAAAAGGTAAGTACACATTTATTAAGTTTTACTTTAGTTGCAATAGTTTAGTCTTAAAGTTCACTTTTTTCCCCCTTTGCAATTGGGATTGCACATTATTCAACTTCCGTAACTTAATAATGGAATTGTGGAATAATCAAATTGATTTTATTTGTGAAAGAAAAACAGGTACGTCATGAAGTTTTGTTTTGTCACGTGTTTTATTTGGACATAAAGAATAAGTTCAAGGTATACAAGTGTAGATTGTCATTAAATGATATCTGATTTACTCTAAATTCTACACTACAAAAAAATCAATCGGTATAGACAAAATAAATCATATAGATAAAAATACAATTTAAGTGGATGAACAAAAAACATTCTCTAAAAGCTTATTGTCACAGCCCATGAGGAAAGGTGAGATCTATTTACACATGCAAAACCTAAAGGCCACCCTGCTGAGAAGTATACAGAACTGGATTCATTGCACCTAATTTCCACAGAGATGACCAAGAATCAAAGAAACAGAGGTTTCCGTTTCAGGGAATGTTTTTGCATGTTATACCTGACTGCGCCGGGACCGAGCCTGCTATCTGAAGGTGCTTCTACGGTAGGTTCACCAGTCTTATCTGAATGAAACTTCAGGCGTTCTCTTTGAATGGAGACCATTATCTTTGGCAAGTGTGTCAAGTTCACTAAACACTGCAAGACATCGTGACGGCTCAATGCACATCTCTGTAACAGATGTGCAATGCACCATGGGCTGAATTGCTTATGTTTTTTACTAAAGTGCTTGTGTTAAAGCCCCTGAGGGGCAGAGGGTGGGGTTGGTTTGCTCTCATGTTTCCTGTTGGTTTGGGATGGCGAAGACAAAAGTTGTGATGGACTCGCGCAGTAGACCTGTGCATCTCCCTAGATAAAAATAAGGACCTTCATGATTTTTAAAACTAGAATGATTTCATCACAAACATACTCATGCATCTAGAAGTTTTCAGGCCTGGCTTTGTTTTAAAGAGTAAAAGCAACAGGCCTGATTGAACAACTTCTACTCAATGAATTCTTGAAAAGCAAACCTCACAACCAGACTCAGAAAAATTCAACTAAACTCAATCTAAATTTACACTCAAGTGCCTTGTTGGGGTCTGGAATGATGCACTGTTTTGATGAACGTACACTACAATGCTGCGTTCCATCCAATATTGAAAGATATTTTTATGCTTAAACAATTTATTGCATGACGTTTGGATGATGTATATAAAATGGTAATGTGCAGATGTGTGATCGTCAACAGTGAGCTGTGCACATCTCCCCAGTTCCTGTGACTGAAATTGCAGTTTTCATAAAAGTCTGAAGTCCAACTTCAAGTGCATTCTATTGCACTTTTCTATATAGGAAGTTAGAAATTCGAAAGTTCTCAGTTGAATGGAGCACAGCATAAATCATAATGAGTGTTTGAAGGACGAAAACACTCATTAGATGTTGCTGTTGAAGTGAGTCTTAGTTACTAAGAGCTATTCAGCTTGTTTCCTATGAGATCATTGAATAATTAACAAGTGAAAGTTTCAGATGAAACGTCTAAAGAAGAGTCAAACCAGATCAGAGAAGACTGTCAAGACAGTCTACAACCGGTTACAAATGCATTCCCTTCTGTAAAAAGTATCACGACTATGTCTGCGATCTGTATCCTGTTCTGAATGTTATAGTGTACACAACAGTATAGACAGTTTGATATATGCTGTGAATTAACAGAGAGGATATGCTGGATTTCTGCTTTAGCACCAACCCACCTCCGGCTGATGGAACGACCAATCAGAACCGATCGGTGGGATAATAATGGAAACTGAACCAATCAGAGTGTTAGTTGGCCCAGCTTCGCTCCTCCCCCTGTCTTAAAAGTCACTAATGCAGAGGTATAGAGGGGGAGGAAGAGGTGGGGGCATTTTAAGAGTGAGTGAGAGTGTGATGGTCACTCTTCATCAGAACTGCTGCTGTCTATGGAATAGACCATAAAGAGAAGATCAGGCCGGGGCGGCACCAGTGGATGACCTGGTTTTACCACTTCAAAACCCATGTAGTGGAAGGTCTTCATGATGGACACTGCACAAGCAGAGACAAAGAAACTTCCTTGTTTAGTGAATTATGGCATCAGACTCATTATTCAATTTAAAAGATTAAATAACCCAAATGAAAGTTCTATTATCATTTACTCACTCTCATGTTGAAAATGTATGTTTTTAGAAGGAACATCAATCCTCTCAATGATGGAGTTTAGGTTCCTTGCCACCGTCTGAATTGAACTTGTTTTATAAATTATGAACTTTACAGTTATTGAACTGAACTGGGCTGTGTTTCCCAAAAGCATCGTAAGCTTAAGTAGATCGTAGACCCATTGAAACCAATGATGCTTTTGGGAAACGCAGCCCTGAATGAATACTAAACTGACTTGAGCTGAGTAATGTCACTATTGTTTTTTATAGAGCTGCATTACAGCAGAATTGAAATTTAACTCATATTTAAATAAGTTTGCATTGTTGATTGTTTGTTATTTTCCTGTTTATTTCTGTGAAGCTGATTTGAATCTCTTTTATTGCAGTCATAATACGGCTGTCAAGCTCCAAAAATTACAAAAAGCATCGAAAAAGTGCTCAAGTCAAATGGATGAGCCATATTTTTGGAATCCAACTACTTCGGTTTCCATTATGGAGGAAAAAAAAACGGCAAAATATCTCTGGTTGTGTTGCACAGAAGAAAATAAAGTCCTGTTCACGCCAAGATGATAACTTTAACAATAACTATAAAGTTTCAATAACCGCTAACCAATAAGTCCACACCACAAATATATCGATAACGTCAGAAAAACAATATCGTTAGAATCACGCTCAGAATGATTACTTCCAGCTGATGAGCAATTAAAAACATTTACAGCCAATCAGAATCCATACTTCTTTAAAGCGCACAAGCATTTAAAGTGATAGACCGACAAATCTGCGGCGCATGTTTATAATAAACAGAATGTTATCAAGCATTGGTGCAGATGCTATTATAGTTATATTCATAGTTATTGTTTTTGGTGCAAACCGGGCTTTCAAATCGTATTGGTTTGGTACAACATGAGGATGAGTCAATGATGACAGAAGTGTTTTTTTTGTTTTTTTTTGGGTAGAATACTTCTTTAAAGGGTTTAAATGTATCTTACATCGATTGTCTCTGTTTTTCTGAAGCCACAGGAACACGTAGCTGACTTTCAACTGCTCCTCTGCAAACTCCAGCAGCCTGGTGAAACTGCAGCGTAATGAGAGGGACAGAGATGTAATAATGCAGATGTACATATTTAATGCTTTCTGACAGTCCACCACCTGCTTGTTGAAGGTAAAGCACTGATGGACTTAAATGAGAAATGACTGGAAGAACTTGCATCAAGAGCGGCTGCATATTTTACAGCCTCATCATACCAGTGATGAAACGTCACATGGAAAGACACTGCACAAGCAGAGACAAAGAAACTTCCTTGTTTAGTGAATTATGGCATCAGACTCATTATTCAATTTAAAAGATTAAATAACCCAAATGAAAGTTCTATTATCATTTACTCACTCTCATGTTGAAAATGTATGTTTTTAGAAGGAACATCAATCCTCTCAATGATGGAGTTTAGGTTCCTTGCCACCGTCTGAATTGAACTTGTTTTATAAATTATGAACTTTACAGTTATTGAACTGAACTGGGCTGTGTTTCCCAAAAGCATCGTAAGCTTAAGTAGATCGTAGACCCATTGAAACCAATGATGCTTTTGGGAAACGCAGCCCTGAATGAATACTAAACTGACTTGAGCTGAGTAATGTCACTATTGTTTTTTATAGAGCTGCATTACAGCAGAATTGAAATTTAACTCATATTTAAATAAGTTTGCATTGTTGATTGTTTGTTATTTTCCTGTTTATTTCTGTGAAGCTGATTTGAATCTCTTTTATTGCAGTCATAATACGGCTGTCAAGCTCCAAAAATTACAAAAAGCATCGAAAAAGTGCTCAAGTCAAATGGATGAGCCATATTTTTGGAATCCAACTACTTCGGTTTCCATTATGGAGGAAAAAAAAACGGCAAAATATCTCTGGTTGTGTTGCACAGAAGAAAATAAAGTCCTGTTCACGCCAAGATGATAACTTTAACAATAACTATAAAGTTTCAATAACCGCTAACCAATAAGTCCACACCACAAATATATCGATAACGTCAGAAAAACAATATCGTTAGAATCACGCTCAGAATGATTACTTCCAGCTGATGAGCAATTAAAAACATTTACAGCCAATCAGAATCCATACTTCTTTAAAGCGCACAAGCATTTAAAGTGATAGACCGACAAATCTGCGGCGCATGTTTATAATAAACAGAATGTTATCAAGCATTGGTGCAGATGCTATTATAGTTATATTCATAGTTATTGTTTTTGGTGCAAACCGGGCTTTCAAATCGTATTGGTTTGGTACAACATGAGGATGAGTCAATGATGACAGAAGTGTTTTTTTTGTTTTTTTTTGGGTAGAATACTTCTTTAAAGGGTTTAAATGTATCTTACATCGATTGTCTCTGTTTTTCTGAAGCCACAGGAACACGTAGCTGACTTTCAACTGCTCCTCTGCAAACTCCAGCAGCCTGGTGAAACTGCAGCGTAATGAGAGGGACAGAGATGTAATAATGCAGATGTACATATTTAATGCTTTCTGACAGTCCACCACCTGCTTGTTGAAGGTAAAGCACTGATGGACTTAAATGAGAAATGACTGGAAGAACTTGCATCAAGAGCGGCTGCATATTTTACAGCCTCATCATACCAGTGATGAAACGTCACATGGAAAACCAACTCGAGCTGCTTTTGACTAAAATTAAACCAGCCGTTCGTTCTACTGTGACCTAAAACTGTCTGTTAAAGCCGAACCATGTAGAGACAGATGGATACGGTTCTGCTGTCATCTTCAGTATAGAGCTGCACGATGATGACAGATTATTAACCCGACATACCCTTCTCTGCTGCCATTGTGAAGAGCTCCAGCGGGGATTTCCAGGTAGAGTGCATCGTCCGACAGAACCGTGTCCCAGCAGGAGAACCGTCGCTCGCTTAACTGGTACTGGAAGTGCAGGACAGGGGGCGCGCCGCTTACCGACCCCGCCTGGGTCACCGTCAACTTTTCGTCCTGGAGGAGACACAGGCACATAGTGTTTACACACAAGCTTGTTCTCAGAATGTTATTTATAAGAGCCCAAAATTAAATGTTAGCACAAAGGTTGTTCTTTAGCTCTTTAGTCTTAATGGAGTTCTCGGTTATGTTTTGTTTAAATATCAACTGTATCTTTAATGTTTCTCCAAAAATTCCAAAAATGTAACCTAATGACACAATTGTTGTTGCATGAATTAGCATACTGTCTTTTTCTCACAATATTGCATTCATACTTGTCCCTAGAAATATGTAAATAGCAATATATTTTTTATGATACACAATTTCCAACAGTTAAAGTGGTAGTTCACCCAAAAATTAAAATTGTGTCATTAATTACTCACCCTCATGTTGTTTCAAACCCGTAAGGCCTTCGTTCGTCTTCGGAACACAAGATATTTTTGATGAAGCCCGAGAGCTTTCTGACCCTGCATAGGCAGCAACGCAACTACCACTTTTAAGGCCCAGAAAGGTAGTAAGGGCATTGTTACAATAGTCCATGCGACATCAATGGTTCAACTGTTCTACGTCAGAACGCCGTCTCCTGCGTCAGCAGCAACACGCGCATGCATCGCGGTACTCTTGTGAATGCACGGCGGAGACTGTTGAATAAAGTCGTTATTTTTGTTTTCTTTGCGCACAAAAAAATTACTGTTGAGCCACTGATGACAAATGGACTATTGTAACAATGTCCTTACTACCCTTCTGGGCCTTGAATGTGGTAGTTGCATTGCTGTCTATGCAGGGTCAGAAAGCTTTTGGATTTCATCAAAAATATCTTAATTTGTGTTCCAAAGATGAACGAAAATCTTACGGGTTTGGAAATTATCCTTTCAATTGATTTTGTCTAAATATTACCAGAGTGGCATATTTAAACAAAATCAATTGATATAACAAATGAGCTCAAGAGCAGCCAACAGTCACTTGCACAATAGACTGTTTCACAGGTGTGAGTAATCCAAAACCTCTTAACCTTTTTGAGACGGTCACATGTCTGCTGCACACAGACAGTGCTGACATCTATAGTCTCACACACATGGTCAACTGTATGCAGAGCTCGAGTACCAAGCGCCAACACCATGCGTATGTAGGCCAGATGGAAACTCTAGCTGTAAATATGGCACAGAGCTAGGCTAATTTACTGTTTAGGGTTTTTAATTTAGGATCATGCTGTAGTAAAGTAGTAAACTGAGATGGACTGCATCCCATTTTGTCTACTGTAAAGTATTGATTAACTAATATATGTATTGATATTCCAATGTATTTCATTACTAGGTCTATATCTTAATTGTATTACTTCACATCACATGCTTACTTCACCAGTGGATCCTCTGCAGTGAATGGGTGCCATCAAAAGGAGAGTCCAAACAGCTACTAAAAACACCACAATAATCCACAAGTAAACCACACCACTCCAGTCCATCAGTTAATGTCTTGTGAAGTATAAAGTTTGTAATAAACAAATCCATCAAGATGTTTTTAACTTTGAGTCCTCTATCCATAATATTGCTTTCGCCAATGTAAAACTCAACTTGTTTGAATCAGGAGAGAAATATGCACAGATCAAGCACCATTTACAAGCAGTCCAAAACAGTTCTAAATGAATATGTCATGGGAGGAAGCATTATTATGAATTAGGTACTAATATTTGGCCAGAAGCTATTGTTAAAAATTAAAATGTCTTAATGATGGATTTGTTTATTACACAGCATTTCACTTAACAAGACATTAACTGATGGACTGGAGTGGTGTGGATTACTTGTGGATTCTTGTGATGTTTTTATCAGCTGTTTGACTCTAATTGTGACGGCACCCATTCACTGCAGAGCATCCATTGGTGAGCAAGTGATATAATGCCACATTTCTCCAAATCTGATGAACAAACAAACTCATCTACATCTTGGATAGCCTGAGGGTCAGTGCATTTTCAGTAATTTTTTCATTTTTGGGTGAACTAAGCTTAATGTTAAAGGGATAGTTCACCCAAAAATGAAAATTCTGTCATTAATTTTGTGCGCAAAAGAAAAGAAAAAAAACTTTATTCAACAATTCGTCTCCTCCGCGTCACCCTATAGCGCCATTTTGGAGAGTAACGTAATCCACTAAACGTAAATAGCGTATGCTGTTCTGTGTCAGCTGCGCCACACATTTTCTACGTTGTTTGCGCTTTGATTTGAACGAAAACAATGTATCCGCATGGCGCAGCTGACACAAAACAGCATACGCAATTTACGTTCAGTGGATACTCTCCAAAATGGCACCAGGGTGACGCGGAGGAGACGAATTGTTGAATAAAGTCTTTTTTTTTTTATTTGCGCAAAAAAAGTATACTCTCAGATTCCATCAAAAATATCGTAATTTGTGTTACGAAGATGAATGGAGGTCTTACGGGTTTGGAACGACATGAGGGTGAGTAATTAATGACAGAATTTTCATTTTGGGGTGAACTAACCCTTTAAAATGTGAAAATTGTACAAATCTGTGTTCTTACCTTGTGCAGTACGCTGTGAGGGAGATCCCTGCCTGTCCCTCGCCCACCCGGGATCTTCGTTAGTGGGAGAGGGGCATCAGGAGCACCACAGAGGCCCTGGAGCCCGCTGCCTCGAGCCCAGAACGGCACAACTACAAGACAGAGAGAGACAGACAGATCATTTTAAAGCTGTGTAAGATTATCCTCAAGTGCATTAACAAAAATTGGCATGTGCTTCTAAAAGCTTCCTTCACTCTGTTTGTCTCCAGAATCATGAGTCAAGTGCATGACGCAGCTTGGCACAGGCCTCAGGGTGCCAGCTGATAACAGATACCCATCCTGCCAACAGCATAACAATAGTCTGACTGTCTGCTTCACAGAAATGTTAGCACTTTTAAAGACTCACTCTCTCCATATTTCTTCTTATGCCTACTGTCACCTTGTAATATTTTCTGCAGCACTGTTATCACATTAACACTCAGTTCTCTGATTACAGACTATGGCAGCACTTGAGACATTCAACTGGAGTAAAACAAATAGTGTACTAATATCATGCTAATTCCAGAAAGGTATGCAGCTTTTTGTTAGCCCAACGCTAACCTAGCAACATTCTAACATCAAACGGTTGAATTATGTCAGTATTCCTAACTAGATCATGTTTGTCAAGACAAACTTTGATGTTGGCTTGAAAAAGCCTTGCAATAAGCATTTCTGGACTTTCAGGAGGCCAACATCTAAGACTTTATACTGACTTTGCACAAACTACATCAGGTCACATTTACATTAACGGTAAGCAGTGACATTTAGGTTCTTGGAGACAGATGTTTCACTTTCCACTTGACAGAAGGGAGGCAGTTCGCGCAGATCACAAACAAGCACATGATGTGAAAACAAGTCTGTAAATAGCAGCTTGGCTGAGAACATTTCACATCCCAGAGGGCTTGAGTTACAGCACTGGCTTTTAGAGATGGTAATAACAGACATTTACGTCCCCATGACACGCTGGGAGATCTTTGGATCTGACGTCTCATCTGAAGCCAGGCCGCACACTGTCAGCATAAATCTCTAATTATGATAGAAAGCATTCCCACTTTTCAAAACAGCCTTGTTTACAACAAGCTAGATGAAGGAATATGAGATCTCATGATCAGCCAGTATGCTGATAAGGAAACAGAAGATTGATATTTTATGCCATTATCAGCTGACAGCCATCAGTGACATGGTTACAGCATGCTGGCACAAATGAAATGGCTGTTCAATGCTAGGGTGCTTTTTCACGTCTCATGAGTCAGATTACCCAGCAGGCAAATGAAAGGAGGGAGGCGTAGTGCTTTCTGTGCCCTGGTAACCAAACGTAACCCAGGTGACAAAATCTGCATGGTGACCACATGAAAACAAATGAAGCTGTTACCGAGGATGTTTACTTTCTGTTTTTAGTTACTCTACGGACTGTTGTTACTTAAGTACAAAGAACTAGTATGACTGATTTTTCAATATACTTTTGAGATGTTCTTTATTTGTTCCTTCTCCTCCCCTGGTCTCTATATAGAAGCGGTGGGTATCTGCGAGTGAAATGTCAGCTTGTTTTGAAAGCCGACACTTTCACCCTCTGACATTCAAGCAGCCCCCCCCCCCCCCCCCCCCAACCCTCCAGGGCTAAACAAACAACAAAAATATATTCCCTTTTCCATAAGGATGCTCTATAATGATTCACGCTGCCTGCCAGTGACAGATGAATGACAACAATAATCATCAAATAATTTAATATTTGATGAAGTCAAACTTTATTAGAGCAGTAACTCATAAAGTAAACTCGAGATTCAGGACTACAAAACCCCTTTGGCATGATTCTCAGACCTGCTACAAACACATGTAGGACAGGCAGTTCTGATGGGCCGGTGGGAACAGAGAGAGTGTTTTATTCCATTGACAGCAGCAGCCTGCTGATCTATTAAAAGCTCCATTGTATCTTTTCCTCTCTGGCGCTCTTGTACATCCAGAAACAAACAACAAAAATATATTCCCTTTTCCATAAGGATGCTTTATAATGATTCACGCTGCCTGCCAGTGACAAATGAATGACAACAATAATCATCAAATAATTGAATATTTGATGAAGTCAAACTTTATTAGAGCAGTAACTCATTAAGTAAACACGATATTCAGGACTACAAAACCCCTTTGGCATGATTCTCAGACCTGCTACAAACACATGTAGGACAGGCAGTTCTGATGGGCCGGTGGGAACAGAGAGTGTGTTTTATTCCATTGACAGCATCAGCCTGCTGATCTATTAAAAGCTCCATTGTATCTTTTCCTCTCTGGCGCTCTTGTACATCCAGGAAATGCTTGTTTACTGTGTTAGGTAATCAGCTCAGAGCCGAATGGAGAGATTCTCTCTGTCACGACAGGCAGTGCCTGTAAACTGCTTCTGATTTCTGCTTCATTCATACCTTGTTTATTGGTATTTCATTAAAAAGGGTGACTTGTTGAGAAGACCCAGAATACCCTAGCAACAGACATACTGACACCCTAGCTATCACCCACAAACATTACATTAGTGAGTTGATAGAGAGTGAATAGTGAATAGTAAGTTGATAAAAACCTAATAATTAATTCAGTCATAAAAAATTTAAAATACAAATATTGTATTTGTTTACCTGCATGTGATGTCAGTGTGACCATTAACCAACATCAGAGAACTGTAAACATATGAATGTGTTGTTCAATTATTGAAATATTAATTTCTTCTGTGATTTTTCAACAAATATTTTATTTTAAGGGCTGACAAAAACGTTTGGGAATCCCTGCATTAAACACCCAAAGTCTTCCAGGTTTGAAATATTCTGTCCAGACTTCCAGAATCAATAAATTATGAATTTTTTACTGCAACTGTGTGAATAATATGTAATCATGTAATCCATAAAAAAATTACTATTATCTGATTACAAGCATTTTAAAATGCAATATACTCTAATTACAAGTATTACATTTTTGGAATCTGATTATGTAATCCAGATTACATGTAATCAGCTACTACCAGCACTGATGTCACAACATGGACTCTGTTAACGATGCCCTTACTGGTTCTTGAACATTGCGTTGCTGTCTATGCAGGGTCAGAAAGCTCTCGGATTTCATCAAAAATATCTTAATTTGTGTTCTGAAGATGAACAAAGGTCTTACGGGTTTGGAACGACATGAGGGTGAGTAATTAATCACACAATTTTAATTTTTGGGTCAGCTATCCCTTTAAGAATGTGTTTGTGATGTGAAAGTGCCCCGTCTCAGTCTCAATTCTGACCTGAGTTCTGTCCCAGTCTCTGTGAGACGGGCTGCTAAGCAACAGTGAAATGTCCCAATCCAGCCGAATGAACTTTCAGCAGCGATGCTGAGTTCAGTGTTCCTCATGCGCACTCACCTGAGTATATTCTGTCCTTACTGACGTAGACAGAGGCGTATCAGTTGCTACAAACTTCAATAAGGGACTATCTGTTCCCTTTTGACCCCTGACCCCTGATGGATGGTTAGGGATGCTGGCGTGTCTGGCACCAAGCAGAGGTTCTGTGTACATGCGTCAGGGGTTTTGTGGTGTACAGCATTAAGCTGATTGGCACTAATATTTTGTGTTCTGGCTTTGAGTTTCCATTGCAGTGTTCCCCACAGGACAGCTGATTACACACGCTTGTGTGGCATCTGATTAACCTCCAAGAGCACAGCACGCCACTTCCTCTTACTGTCAGTTCATCCATACTGTCATACCTTACAAAAGAGTTTAGGTTATTAAATTCAGATTTACATTTAAAGAGATAGTTAACCCAAAAATGAAAATTCTGTCATTAATTACTCACCCTCATATCAGTCCAAACCCGTAACACCTCCGTTCATCTTCGGAACACAAGTTAAGATATTTTTTATGAAATCCGAGAGCTTTCTGTCCCTGCATAGACAGCAACGCAACTGACACGTTCAAGGCCCCAAAACATAGCAAGGACATCGTTAAAATAGTCCATGTGACATCAGTGGTTTAACCGTAATTTTACAAAGCTACTAGAATACTTCTAGAATAGAACCCGGATGCGCTGCGCCTTGTTTACGAGCAGAGGAATGTACCAAAAATGAACGAAGGTCTTACGGATTTGAAACGAACATGAGGGTGAGTAATTAATGACAGAATTTTCATTTTTGGGTGAACTATCCCTTTAAATTTAGACAGGTTAAGATGTCATCTAGACTTTCTAGATACTAAATTTAAAATTTTATTCATAGCAGATGTTATTTAAAAAAAAAAGAAGACTTAAAGACACAGCAGCACAAACATAAGGGTTTGAGAGAGAGTAAAATTTTCAAAAAGACGCCATAAAAGCTGAAAAAAATTAATCCAAGATGGCGGACTTAGAAAAATTATTATCGATATTAATTCAGTATTTAAAAGTGTCTACACACACACACACAGAGAAAGGAATGTATATATTATGCATATATATATACAGTGGTGTGAAAAAGTGTTGGCCCCCTTCCTGATTTCTTATTTTTTTGCATGTTTGTCACATTTTAATGTTTCAGATCATCAAACAAATTTAAATATTAGTCAAAGATAACACACACAAACACAACATGCAGTTTTTAATTTATATAATTTATATATTTATTAATATATATAATATTATTTATAGAATATATTTATGCTTATTGGAGTACTGCACCCTTTATTTCTGTCCTGAGATCCCTGACTTTTCACTGTTCCCATCTGAGTCTATTTTTGCACACCATGCTTTGAGAAAAAAAATCGTACAATCTTTTAGAGAACTGTGTGAGTGTGTGAGTTTGTGAGTAGGAAGGGCAGCAGGTCGTGGGAATGGGTTCAGTGCACCAGCCTGGGCCGTCAGCAGAGACTCACTTCCACCAAAAGCATCAGAAGTGCAGTAAAAGAACAACTGAGGAAGTGGAGAAACAATGTACGAGTCCGAACAAACACACACACACACTGCGCTGGATCAGGGTGTGGGACTGCAGCACAGTGACAGCCGTTTCTCTGGACCCAGAAACCCATAGAGAAAAGAAAGTTCTGTTTCCCATAATTCTGTTTACGTTTCCGCTGGTTACGCTCCCACGGTGACCACTCTTCTTGTTTATTGGTCTATTTCTGTTTCCTCCTAAACTCATTTTAAAACTGGTGATAT